CATGCCGGATCCTGCTAAAACCCTCAGGACTCATAAGACCTGGGGAGGAGCTGCAATTACGATGGGTAGTGTCTGCTCCTCCTATCAGCTGTTCTCTATTATCCTTCATTACCCAGTACCTTTTTATTTTTTTAACATTTGTTTATGCGTAGAAGAGCTGGGGTACAGGCCAGAGGTGGGGGGTGTTAGAGGATTCTCCAGAGACACACTGGGGAGCAGAACACGCAGACCTACTGAAATACACCGCTGAGGGGAGCAGCGCATGAGGCAGCAGCAGAGGGCTGCTGCCCCACCTGGGTCAGCTGCAGGGGAGGGAGGGCTGGATTGAAGGCATGCATGCTGCAGTGGCTACATCACCAGTGAGGCCTGCCACTACCTTTTAAATTCAGTCCCCTGTTGTAAGCTAAGTGTCTCAGGTGAGACTGTCACTGTTAAAATTACTGTGTTCTTTCCCTTCATGGGACACAGACCAAGACAGGAAATGCAAGGGGTATCAGCAGTGTTGCCACATACACAGGCAGAGGCCAGATTTGTGCAGTGGTTTTCTTGTGGCTGTAGGGCTGCTGTTGCTGAAATTTAATTGTGCTGCTTGCTGCATCACAGTCATGGTTGAATTCCCACCAGGACATGTTTGAAAATACGAAATATTTTCATGTCAAAATTAGGGGGTTTGTTGGAAAGAAAGGGGCCCTAAATGGCCGGCTTGGGAAGCTCTGTGGACCCCGACTGGCAGCAAGGGGGTATCTGCAGCCCCACGTTGCTCCCAGACAGCCCTCAGGTGTCTCCATACACTGTGCCTCAGAGGGCTGTTTAAGAGCCCTAAGATAACCCGCCCGGGGCAGATGCTCAGGAAAGGACATAGCTCCCTTCCAGACTCACCAGCCCACCCCCTGTATGACTGTGCTCTCACTAGGGTCAACCCTCCGTCTGCTCCACACTGACAGGGATACCCTAGGATCTGCTGAAATGTATCATTTGTGGGAGTACATTCTAAGCCTGCAGACCAGAGGGGGCAGACGTCACCCTAGATGGAACTGAGCTCATTGCATTGGGCACACTCACTGGAGATTCTGGATTGTGCTGTAAGCATTTGCAGCTGGACGGGCCTCTCAGGGCTTACTTATTTGTATTCAGACGGTGCGCTGGGGTTAATTTGGTTGTGGTGTCATTGTGCGGAAGGTGGGATCCACAGGCTTGGGGAGACCAGGTTGCTGGAATGGGTATAATTCATGGAGTCCACACCCCGATGTCCAGCCCTCCTTCCCACCCCCCAGCCAAGCGTGTTCCACAAGAAGGAGCAACAGACAGAGCCATGGAGAAAGGAATACCTTCACCCTTAAAATGCTCTGTGGCTACTTTCCTTGTGGGTTTCCTGTGGCTACGGAGACATCTCCATTGAGCCCGGCTCCCCAGTTTCAGGAAGCATAAATGGCACCTTCTGCAATAGCCAAGGCTCAGGGTCTTAGTGCCTCTTACCCTAGTGGAAGGTGACCAAGGACCTTGATCAACCTCCTTCATCACTCTGTGTGCTTCCTTCCCACTTTGTTCTTACCCTTCCCCTTGGTGCTCTGGTTCTGTGCTCAGCTACCAAGGGTTAGTTTTTAAGCTTGCCTTGACTACTACTTTAGTTACTTTGTATTCCACATATCACTGACAGCACCTGGTTGTTATCTTTCTCCTCCTACAGCGTTATTCTTGTCCTGTCTGCTCCATCCATGCTATGCATATAGCTGTTTATCTTTTTTGCTGGCTGAGTCCTATAGTAGTGTTCCGTTGTGTGTACCGGTCACATCTTCTTGGTGCACTCATCTGTTTGGGGACACTCGGATTATTTCCATGAGTAAGCTATAGCTGGTAGTGCTGCAGTAAGATTGGGAGTGCAGCTTTAAAAGTTGTTTTGATGGGGCCAGGGGTGCGGAGGGGCATTCCCGGGTGGCACAGGGGTTAAGTCTCAGCACAGTGAAGCTGTCAGCAGCCTCTGCAGCACCAGTTTGACCCCCCGGGCAGGGAGAGGCCTCACACTGTGCTGCAGACCTCTCCTGTCTCCCTGCTGCTCTCCTCGGCAGTGTGTTTCGGTCAGTAACCCTGTTCTGCTCCCTGCTCTGTCTCGGGTGAGTCCTCTCACCCCCATACCTCTGGCCTGCACCCCAGGTCTTGTGTGCATAAATGCATAAAAAATAAATCTTTAGGGCCTCCCCTAGTGGTGCAGCAGTCGAGTGTTGCGGGTTTGATCCCCGGCCACCGGGTGAGGGTCCCACCTGGCGTGCAGACCTCTCCTGCTGCACCCGCTGCTCCCCTCAGCAGTGTACTTCATCAGTCTGCCTGTTCTGCTCCCCAGTCTGGCTCTAGTGAATTCTCTCACCCTCCTGTGCTTCCGGCTGTACCCAGTGCTTGTATAAATAAATAATAAATAATTAAAAAAGATAAATCTTTAAAACATTTCCTTTGACAGATGCCTAGGAGCAGAATTACTGGGCCAAATGGCAGATCAATGTTTTAATTGATTTAACCTCGGTACTGCTTTCCATAAGGCCTGGACCCATCTGCATTCCCATGAGCAGTGGAGGCGGGGTCCCTTTATTCACATCCTGTGCAGTGCTTGATGTCTCTGAGCTTTTCTGTATGGCCCTTTGCACGGGTGGGAGGTGGTGCCTCATCGTGGTCCTCCTTGCCTTCTCTAATAATAAGTGATGTTAAACCTGTTCTCTTGTATCTGCCGGCCATCCGAATGTCTTCTTGGGAGAACTGTCTGTCCCGTTCTTTGGTCCATCTTTTTGATTTTGTTTTTTTGTAGCATCTTGTAAGTTCTTTGTACATCTTTGATGTCAGTCCCTTGTCACATGTGTGGTGTACAGATATTTTCTCTCAGTCATTTGGGTGTCTTGTCATTTTGGATGCTGTCTCTCTTGCTTCTCTGAAGCTTCCATCAAGTTTGATGAAGCCCCAGCTGTCTGTGTTTCTCAGCATGTATGGATTTGTTGGGGACTAATCCCTACAGGCATCACAAAACCTTTGTCATGAAATGTTTTGCCTTTGTTTTCTTTTGTCCACTATTAGTCGGTTTTGTTGTGTGCTGTGAGATGATGATCTTTCATCCTTTACATGCAGTTTTCTAGTTTTCCCAAGACCATTTGTTGAAGAAGCTTTCCTTTTGCAGGGTATGTTTATGGCTTCTTTGTCACAGATTGTTAGAGAAAGTCTCACCTTTTACCAGGCAGAGGAAGAACAAACCATACCTTAAGAAGGGTGAGGTCAGGCAGGCCTGAGGTCCTACACCTGGGTAGCCTGGTGTGTGTGTGGGCTGAGCCCAGGTTTAAAGACAAAGGGCTCATTTTATACCTAACTGTCCTCCTATTTGTTACATTGATGTCGTCCCTTTGCAGCAGGCACAACCATTTGCTGCAAAGCCCCCAGGTGTGGGAGAGGGAGGGAGGACAGACAAAGGGAGAAGAGACGTGCCTCTGGAGCTAGCCTTTGAGAGACAGACCAGCTTGACTGGCTGCCCAACCCTTCTGAAATGCAACTTTGTTTAGATAGGCGGGCTGAGGCCCTGGCCAAGGATCTTTAAAGGGAAAGAGCTGTAAGTAAGCAAGCTTGTGGATTATGCCTGCATTTGGAGTGTTGGTTGCACCTGGGCTCAAGCTCTGCTGGAATTTTTACTGTGTCCATTTGCTCAATAAGAAATTATTGCATCAAGATTAGCTACCCATATATATGTGGCTTTATTTCAGGGCTCTCAGTTCTGTTCCCTTGGTCTGTGTGTGTGTTTAGGTCCAGCATCGGGCTGTTGTAACTGCAGTGACTTTATAATGTAGCTTGAGTTAGGAAGACTGATGCCTCCATTCTCTCTCTCTTTGTCAAGACTGCTTTTGTGGGCCTTTTGTTAGGGACCTTTTGTGATTCCATATGAATTTCAGAGGTTTTTGCTCCTGTTACTGGAAATATGCCATTAATATTTTGATTGAGAGTCTATTGAATCCATACTGTGCTTTGGCCAAGGTGGCCGTTTTGGCGATGTTGATTCTTCCAATCCATGGGCAGGAAATGATTATTGGTTTCTTTGTGTGTCTGTTTCTTTCAACAGTGTCTTACAGTTTACTTTGCTTACACATTTTTGGCGCCTCTGCTAGGTTCACCCGTAGGTATTTAAGGGTATTTTTTGGTGTGATTGTAAGTGGAATTACTTTCTTCCTGTTCTGACTCATTGTTCATGCAAAGGAAGACCACGTATTTATGTGTGCTGATTTTGTGCACTGCTACTTAGCTAAACTGCTTGTGTCAGTTTTTCCATGGAATCTGGAGGATTTTCTATGTACATTGTTACGTCTTCTGCAAATTATGATAGCTTTACTTATTTCCCATTTTGGATTCCTTCTTCTTGTGTAATTACTCTGGCCAGAACTTCCAGTAACATATCGAATAGCAGTGTGGTGACACTGGACGTCCTTGTCTTCTACCAGATCATCATAGTGGACAACATCTCAGTTTTTCCTCATTAAGAATGACCCTTGCTGTGAGTTTGTTGTAAATGGCTTCTGTTATGTAAAGGTATGGTACATTTATTCCCAGTTTGTGAGGACTTTCATCACAGCCCTCAACATCATGGATGTTCGGTCTTGGCAGATGCTTGAGATGATCATGTGGTTTTTATCTATCTTAGTGTTGATGTGGTGAGTTACCTTGATTGATTTTCAGAGTGGAACCATCCTCTTGTTCTTGGTATGGATCTAAGGCGGGGGGGGGTGTGTGTGTGTGTGTGTGTGTGTGTGTGTGTGTGTGTGTGTGTGTGTGTGTGTGTGTGTGTGTGTGTGTGTGTGTGTGTGTGTGTGTGTGTGTGTGTGTGTGTGTGTGTGTGTGTGTGTGTGTGTGTAAATGTGTTAAATGGTTTCAGGCTTTTCTGCCTGATGGGGCACCTGCAGTTGTTACATTGTTGTAAGCTGAGTTGTTTACTTCTGTGGGCCATGGGAAGAGTATTGAGACAGTCAGCCAGCCAGAGAAGGGGAAGAAGGAGTCCAGAGTGAAGAATTGCTGTCCCCTCCCCCACCTGGTTTCTGCACTGCCTGTAAAAGCTTAATAAAGCTTGAGAAAGCCACCGCGGGCTCTAAGACTCTCCTTTACCTTGTCTGCGGGGATCATAGAAAACCTGCTGGGTGCCCAGCCTGCCCGTACAGTTGGCCTGGTCGGCAGAATGATTGGATGCAGACAGATATGGAGCCCTGCAAAGATCTCAGAAGGGACTGAGGAGCAGACTGTTTGCCCATGACAATGCTTTGCAAGCCATGGCAGCACAGATTGCGAGCCATGGCCGCACAGGAGGTGACCAAAGTCCAGGAGCTGTGGGAAGAGCTGGAGACACTGCAGGAGCACAGGAGGTGGACAAGGCCCGGGATCTGCAGGACGAGACCTCCCCTGGAGGAGAAGACAGACCAGGAGGACCAGCCCAGGACCCCTGAGGCAGCTAGATCGTCAAGGAAGGAAGGACCAGATTCGGAGCTCAGCAGTGCTGATGCAGGAAGAGACTGGTGGACTTGGATTGACAATCCCACCAGAAGGCGGAGGGACTTTGGCAGGGTAATGCTCTATTTTGGGGACCCTGAGGGAGGATGGTATTGTTTGTACACCCCAGGAATCTGAGGGTGGCCAGTGGGCCTAGATGGCCAAAAGCAGCCTGGTACATCCCAGCAGCCAGGCAGAGGAAAACCAACTTAGAAAGGCAAGGGTTGGTGCTGAGATTGGGGAGCCTTGATCGGCTGTTAGGCAGCCCAAGTATGCTAAAGAAGGCCAGCGAGTCTCTTAAAATCACCTGTGGATGGTGCCCTGCTCACTGTTGAGTGAGGGTGAGTTGCTGAGGAACCCATCCTTGGGGGGCAGGTGGGGAACGTGGGTTGTGATGGAGCCCACAGTCAAAGAGGGGACCCAAGAGAGGCCACATGTGGAGCTTGTATCCTCGGATCCCGGTCCCCGACCCAGGTGCTTGTGCAGTGGGTTGGCCTGAGTGCAGGGGTCTGTGTGTCGCATTGGTGGCTACGAAAGCCCAGTGTTGGCATGACCACAGACAGAAAACCCTAAGGATTGGGCGATTTCCCCCAGGAGTACAGAATCGACAATCCAAGAGTGAGTGCATCCTGGGGGTGTATGCTGTGTGGCTTGTGGCTGAGACCACAGTCAGAGAAGGGCAGGAAGGAAGCCTGACAGCTTCTGGCGTGTGACGGCAGATGCCTGGGTGGGCCCCCCTCACATGAGCAGCACCTTGGGCAGCAGAAGTGGTGGCTTATCTGCTGGTGCCAAGAATTGTTTTTTGCCACTAGGTTGGTGCCCTGCCTGGAATTACTTATGTTCTATTTTCTTTTGTGTGTCATGGCTGCTGTGTTTGTTAAAGGGAACTTGCAGATGCTTGTATATCCATTATATGGCAGAAAACCCTGAGGGGTGAATTGTAGGGTAAATGGTTTTCAGGCTGTTCTGCCTTCCCACCGTTAGCATTACCCTGGCTGATGGGGTACCTGCAGTTGCTACATTGATGTAAGCTGTCTTGTTGACTGTCTTTGGGTGTGGAGGAGTATTGAGATCATCAGGAAGAGAGGTGGAAGCAGGAGGGAGGCAGGGGAGAGACGGGGAGAAAAAGCCAGAAGGGAGAGATGCCCAGAGTGAAGACTTGCCGGGGGCTTGGAGGCTTACTGGCTTTCTGCACCTGCCACCCCCACATGCCAGCCGTGGACCTGCTTGCCACACTACATGTAAAGCTCAATCAGAGCCTGAGAAACCCACCCAGGGCTCCAGGACACTGCACAGTAGCCTTCCTGCCCCTGCAGTGTGGAATCCTTTCAGTGCATCATCGGATTCAGCTTGCTAGGATTTTATTAAGGATATTTGTGACTGTTCATTAGGTGGACTGGCCTGTAGTTTTGTTGTTTCTGTTTGATTTTTGGTATAGACTAATGCGGCCCATAAAAAGTATTTGGGACTATCCCTTCATCAATTTTTGGCAGTGTTTGAGCAAGGTAGGTGTTTGAGCAGGTAGTTCCTCTTTGAAGGCTTGGAAGAATTCACTTGTGACACCATCTGGTCCTGGACTTCTGCTTTTTGTGAGAGTTTTGATCACTTTCCATTTCCTTGCTTGTGGTTGGTGTGTTCAGGTTTCCTGTTCCTCTTCAAATGATTGTATGCATCTCAGAACTTTTGTTAGTAGAGAGATGGCAGGAAAGGACAGTAGTCCTTTATTGTCCTCTGAGTTTCTGCAGCATCTGCTGATTTCTCTCCTTTCATTTTTGAATCTATTTATGTGTGGTTTCTCCTGTTCTTTTTTTTTTTTTTAGGATTTATTCATGCATACAAGAACCTGGGTATAGGCCAGATGTGCGGGAGGGTGAGAGGATTCACCAGAGACAGAGTGGGGAGCAGAACAGCCAGAGGGACCGAAAGCACTGCTGAGGGGAGCAGTGGGCGAGACAGGAGAGTTCTGCGGCGCCATGTGGGAATCTCTTGACTGCAGGGAATCGAACCCATGCTGCAGATGCTGTGGACTGCTTCACAGCACTGCGCTCAACCCGCCGTGCCACCAGGGAGGCCCTTTTTTCTTGTATCTTCAAATAACCAGGTTTTGGTTTCATTGATGTTCTGGATTGTCATTTAAACCTCGGTTTAAACCTCTGTTCTGCTTTTGCTTTGATTTGTATTACTTCTGTTCTCCTAATGGCTTTTTGATTAGTTTCTTCATTTTCTGAGTCCTCCAGTTGAAGGAGAAGTTTGTTTGAGCTCCTCTTCTTGATGTGGGCCTGCATTGCTGTATATTTCATTGTTAGTACTTCTTTTGCTGTGTTCCATGTACTTGGATGGTTGTCTGCTTGTTTTCATTTTCCTTGAGATATTTTTGAAATTTCTTCTTTGATTTGCTTATTAATTCAGTGGGCTTTCAGTAGTGTGTTGCTCAGTCTCCATGTAATAAAATACTTCTGTGCTTTCAAAAACATAAAAATATCAATTTATTTATTATACAGTAACCAGGACACAGGCCAGATGTGCGGGAGGGCGAGGGTGAATCATCTCTGGTGATTCACCAGAGATGGGGTGGGGAACAGAACAGGCAGACTGAGGAAATACACTGCTGAGGGAGCAGTGGGCGCTATGGGAGGGATCTGCTGCACCGTGTGGGATCCTCGATGGCCAGCCAGGATCGAACAGGCGCAGCAGAGGCTGCAGGCAGCTTCACAGCGCTGTGCTCAACCACCTGCACCACCAGAGGAAGCCCTCTCTGCTTTCTTTTAATAGTTCACTTCTAGTCAATTATTGAACACAGATCTCTCTGATCTGAGAAGATGATGGGCATTTTTTTTAAAGAACGATTGATTTATTTATGCATATGAGAATTGGGGTAAGGCCAGAGTTGTGGGGGGTGAGAGGATTCACCAGAGACAGTGGGGAGCAGAACAGGCAGACTGACTGAAATATACTGCTGAGGGTGTTACAGGGCAACTTGGATTAAAGGGGAGCAGCGAGCAAGACAGGTGAGGTCTGCTGCACCATGTGGGTAGCTCCCCGGGAGCTGGGGGATCAAACTTGTGCTGCAGAGGCTGTGGATAGCTTCATAGTGCTGTGCTTAACCCCTTGTCCCACCACGGAGGCACCAGGTTCAATCCTCATGTAACTATCTATCCTTTTGTGTCCCAGAATGTCTTCTGTTCTGAGAATGTCACTTGAGTGCTTGATAAAAATGGTTTTCTGCCTTTCAGAGGGAGCAGTGCCCCGTATATGCCTATGAGTTCCAAGACATCTAATTCTCTATTTTAGGACATTGTATCCCTGTTTATTTTCCGTCCAGTTTATCTGTCCACTCGTTAGAATGGGTGGTGACATGCCCTACCAGAAATATGTTTTTCCAAATGTTTCATTTCATTGGTGCGGCTTCAGTTTTACACCGACCACAGTTACATCTTCTGGATGGATTGTACGAGTTATGATCATAGAGTGCCCCTCCCTGTCTCTTGTTACCTTTGTGAGGTGGAAGTCTGTTTTTGCCTCATCTAAGTGCATCTGCCCTGCCTTCTTCAGCAACCCTTTACTTTCAGCCAGGTTGTCTCCTGGAGACAGCATACTGCTGGATTCTGATTCTCTGTCTAGAGGGACACTAAATGTGTTTTAAGTGGTGGCTTCAGTCAATTTATGTTTGAAGTGATTATGTGTATCATTGCCATTTTACTCTTGACGTCTGTGGGTCAGTCGGCTTCCTTACTTAGTTGTTTGTGTATGTTCCTCTTTTTGATTTCAGTGTACAGGCTCCTGTCAGTGTTTCCTCAGGAGTGGTTTACTTTAAGTCCTTGCATTTCTGTATGTCTGAAAGACCCATCATTTCTCCCTCACCCCTGAGGATAGTGCAGGATAGTGTATTCATGGCTGGCAGTGTTTCCCTTTAAGTATTCAGAACATTCCATTCCCTTCTCCCCTCAGTGTTTCTTCAGAGAGGTTTAATGTTAGCCTGATGGGCTGTCTTCCTAGGTTATCTGTGCTCCCCCAACCTTGCCTTCCTCAGTATTCTTTCTTTGTCCAGAATCTTTGGAAATTTCAGTGCTCTTATGACTTGGTACGGATCTTACTGTGTCTAGGTATGCATTGTGTCTTTTAGCTTTGTGTATTTGTGCATTTATTCGCCTCTTGAGTTTTGGGAAGTTAAAGTAAGACTTTAATTACATTTTCTGTATTTTTTTTCTCTCTTACCCACAGGTATCCCCATTATTCTATGTGGCTTTTTCTCTTGGATAGTCTCAGAGTGTTTCTCCTTTTTATTTTGCTACTTCCTCTCTCTCATTCCTTCCCTGCACTGATGTGGTCCATTAGGTCTAGTCTATTTCCATAACTTCCTTCGAATTTTTTAATCGCTCATAATTTTTTTTAAAGAACCCTATTAAATTTTTAAAGACTTATTTAGTTATACAATCACTGGGTACAGTCAGAAGCACGGGAGGGTGAGTGAATTCACCATAGCCAGAGGGGAGAGCAGAGCAGGCAGACTAAGTACACTGCGGAGGGGAGCAGCGGGTGGCGGGAGAGGTCTGCATGCCATGTGAGACCCTCGCCTGGCGGCTGGGGATCAGACTGGCGCTGCAGAGGTTGCGGGCAGCTTCGCAACCCAGTGCTGAACCACTGTGCCACCGGGGAGGCCCATCTAATATTTTTCTTTTAAAATCCTTAAGCACCATTTTATCTTACTTGGAGTACTACATTTTTTTCAATATTTTATTTTATATAATTCTTACCTCATTTTTCATCTGTGTACAATGTATACATTTTTAGTTTGGCTATATTCACCATACAATTGCACCTCCCCCTTATTTTGACTCTAGTCCTTCCTCTCCCCGCTCCCCACTCCCCTGGTAGAGTGTCTCTGGTTTATAGTTGCTTGTTGATTTTGATTTTTACTTTGCATTGATTAGTCTTTTTTCTGGTCTCTTATTTAAGTTTTCTAAATTACAGCTATGATTGAGACCTTCCGGTATTTTTTCTTTTTTTGACTGACTTATTTCGCTGAGCATGATCCCTTCTACCTCCTTCCATGTTGTTGCAAACTGCATGTGTTT